ACAATAATCGCCCGTTTATATGGGTGGACATAACCCGATTAGACTTTCAAACTCAATTTGAATGCTTCTTTGTTCTCATTTCTTTTGTTTGGCGATACCAGTTATCAGCTTGTTTCGCGGACCGACTACTGGCGTTATATTTAACTGCACTTCATTTCTTAGGGCCACAATTTCCGTTTGCAAGCGACAGAAACTAAAACGCCTCAGTTCAATTCAGTTGAGCCAAGTGAAAGGCCACAAAGTTCAGTCCAGATAAAGTGAAATAATACCCAGTGGAATACAATTTTTGAGGCAGGTTAAGTTGGAGTACTTAATGCCAGCTTTTAAATAGATATCTCTCGGTGTACGCAGGTAATTATTCGGTTGCGTCAGCCTTTGATCGACTCCACTGGAAGTTTTCCCCAATGGAAACATCAGATTCTGCCAAAAGCACATCCGGGAGGGTGGGTTCGCAGTACACTGTTGAGGGTCATAAAAAATAAGCAGGGTTCACAATCAAGCTTGTTAAAAACCGGGTTGAGTGGTTGTTAGGTTTTTCATTTTCCTGATTTTAATTAAAACTCAAGATTACAAAATTCCTACTTATTAAAATTCCAATGTCTCTTTTTTAGTACTAAAAGCTAATTGCGATAAATATGAAAAAAAAATTGCAAGTTAGATATCCGTGAAATATTATTGTAGGATGTACTATTTCTGAAATAAATTACCTTTAATCAACCAAAAACAATACATTTCTTAAAATCCAGACTTCAAAAACACAAAGGACTTCCTATAATGTCAGAAAATCAAGAATCTTGTTTTAAACTTGATTTAAAAACAAAAAAAAACTATAACTGGTTTAACAGGTCTAAAAGGTAAAAACCCCAAGGATCAGTTTCAAGGATGCCAGCGATGACCTGTGGTTCGAAAAACCAAGGTCCTTTGAAACTGGTTTATTTTTTGATCAGTTTATTTCATTGCAAGATTGTTTTTTATTTTAAAAATATTTATTTAAAATATTTAAATTTGCAAATATTTATTGTTGTACTACCATAAATAAAACTACTTATAAACTATAATCTTTCATCCTCAAAGTTCAAGTTTAGTTCAAGGAAAAACTTCAATTATCTTGTTTACTCCCTTCTCAACCTAAATAAAAACTCTAGAAACGATAAAAACCGGATTCGATAAATGCTGATTCACTATGAGTTCGCTTCATTCCTACACATTGGGGCTATCCTAAGTGACTAAATTTAAAGTCGATATTCCCTAAATGGAAAAAACGCTAACAGAATAATATTAAGTCGTTGATCAAAGATCATTTCCTCGTAATTAACACCCATTCGCCATTTGGCAGATGAGGTGACAAACGCTAAACAGAATTTGGCTTTCGTACTAAACTTAATATTTAGTTTGACTGTGATAAACAAATTAACTTGAGTGGAGTGTAAAGACTCTAGTAAATTGCACAATTTTATGTGATATTTTTTGACGCATTATAACATGATATTAACCCTTTTTTTTTAGAGCAATTTACTTGACATTTTGCGTGCGGCTAATTGGCAATTACCATTACTCACGAAACCTGTGCCATGGAATTGTCTCAAAATTAAGATTACGCTTAGTTGTTTTATTGTATTTTGTTTCGCCTGTCACACCCAACTTTTCTGTCACTCATTTTTGTAGTTTAATTGGATTTTACAACACCCGAAGACAAGATTGACCAACAAATTAGCATGCGCATAACTTTATGGGCTGTTGAACTCCACGCCAAAGACCAAGTCAAACACAAAGGCCCAAAATAAATAAAGGCATAAATTACCCAAGATTCATTGACGAAATTTCTGGAAGCCAATGAAAATCAAAAGCCAGCGCGACACATGGCCAGAATGACAAACACCCATGTAGACATAAAGTCTTTCGAGTTTGCGGCTTCAATCCACTATAATGTGTCCAACAATCTCTGCTCTTGGCCTTGACTTTTACCTTCATTCGCGCTGACCGCTCAAAAAAGCCAATATCAAAAAACTTACTAATTGCTTGGAATCATAAGAGCAGCAGTAAATCAGATTTAATGGCGATTTGCACTACTCTGCGGCTCACTCGACCACGTTCTTTGGCTTCTCGACATCGAGTTCGACTTTTTTGTGCCATTGTCAAGTCCTTCATGACAGGGCATAGATCAGCACCGGCTCATACAAGTGCTACGTCATCGAGACAATTTTTTCCAATTTTGTTTTGCTAGCCAAGGTGTTGCCAAGTCGTCTGGGAGCCAAACAGGCGGGACACGTATCAGCTGGTATAGACGAAAAATAAAAAAAATATTTTGTGGGGGGAGGAGATATGTTTACAGAGCGGAGACCCTAAGAAGACGTCTGGTTTTGTATTTTCTGCATAAAAATTAGCAGTAGGAGAATGAATATTAATTATAAAAATTCAAAATATAAATACTTATAACAAATCTTTTAATTTATAAATTTTTTTTAAAAGTATTTAAGGTTAAACTTTTTTGTTTAAATAACTTAGTCTTTATCTTTTAGTGTATTAACTTGCATAAAACTTCAAAACGGAAATATTATTCAATTCCGTTTAGGTAACGGGGGCTATGAAAATTTTGATAAACGATCCAAGAAGTTCAGCAAACGCCCTGACCGAATTTCTACAACCTTTACGGTGAGGGTATACACTGATTTTTTGCCAACGGACGCACGTTTTGCGACCAGTTTTGGGCGCTATTGTCTATCAGTCTATCTGTTTCTATATATTTATATCTATATTTACCTGTTTGTCCGGCGGCCTCTTCTTCCGTTGTGGCGATTTTTCGACGACTTTGGCTAATGAAGTTCAGCTTTGAGTCATACATACACATATAATTATTTGTATATGCGAGTTCATATATATTTAACAGTTTCCATTGGAGCGAGGCATTGAACTGTTGCCGCTTTTGCTTTTCGCTTTTGACCAAGCTGCGGAAGTAACCCAGTTGTGCCAACCGCTTTGAGGAAATGGTTGCCAAACCACTCAAAATGTTTGAGTCGAGACCAAAACAATTTCATTCTCGTTCGCAGCCTGAACCGGTGAACAACTAGCGGCAGATCACGGAGTCCAGATCTCAGACCTCATATCACATCACATCTACACAATGGGCAAGGCGGAGTGCATTAGCTACGATGAGCAGCAGTTGCCCTACATTGATTTGGGCTCGGCACAGATCCGAATGGAGAAGGATGCGGCTCCCGAATGGGCCCTGAAAAAGGCACAGGACGAGTTGAGGGAAGTGCCTGGCGTCAAGGAGCAGGCCATCAAGGAACTCAGGGAACTCATTCAAAGTAAGTGAATTTATAATTTTATTTATAACATTTTTAATAAATTCCCACTTTATCTAGATGAAAAGTACCTGAACCTGCCGCTGGATGATGAGTACATGATGATGTTCTTGCGTCCCACCCATTACTACCCAGATAGTGCATTGAAAAGGGTGAGTGTTACTTGAAAAAATATCAAAAAATGTTAAAATAATATATCATAAGGATTAGAGGTTAAATAATAGTTTTTAGAAATTTTTATAATTTTGTATTTTGTCATAAAATTTAATTTATTTTTTAATTTTATTTTTTCGTTTTTTACATAATTAATTTCCCCTTTAATATTCACAGCTCAAGAACTTTTATCACATGAAACTGAAGTACGGAATTGCTTGTGAGAATATAATCCCCAGCAAGTTGAGAAACGTTTTTGAGGCAAATATTCTGAATTTGTTGCCCCAAAGAGATCAACACGGTCGTCGCCTTTTAGTGCTGGAAGCTGGCAGTAAGTTTATCCGGTTAATGAAAATTGTTGAAATCTCTAAATGTCATTTTTATGATAGAAAAGTGGAAGCCATCCCAAGTGCCCTTGGTGGATTTGTTCCGTGGCATTCAATTGACTGTTCTGGGCTCCATGGTAGAGCCCTATTCACAAATCTGCGGCGCAGTTGTCATTATCGATATGGAGGGTAATTAACTCTATACATTAAATAGCAATTGTACAATTTAATTAACCCATATTAACTTTTTTGCAGGTCTGCCACTTAGCCACATTACACAATTTACACCGTCGTTTGCCGCCATGTTGCTGGATTATATTCAAGAATGCATCTGCATGCGTTTAAAAGCGGTTCACATAGTGAATAATTCATATATATTCAATATGCTTTTTGCCATATTCAAGCCATTCATTCGCGAAAAGCTGCGCAAGAGGGTGAGTTTATTCTGCTTTATCCATGGAATTTTGAGAATTTATTTTTAATGCTAATTCCTAATTTTCCAGATCTTCTTCCATGGCAAGGACTACAAGTCCCTGATCTCTCACATTGAGGCCAGTGCCTTGCCTCCCAAGTATGGTGGTTCCGCCACTTGGGAACTGCCCCCTGGCAAACTCCTGGGAGAATTCTTCGAGTGCTACTCCAAGGACTATGAACGTGAGCTATTTCTTTAAATTTAAATCAAATGTAAATATCTAAATGTTTTAAATTTTTTTCCAGTGGCTGACAGCTATGGCTACGTTGAGGGCTATAAAATGAAGAAGTAATAGTACAAGAAGATCCCCAAAATATTCCCAAGTCCACCCAATCCTCAATTCCCCTTTTCGATTTGTATTGTAGTAACTTAAGTTGGGTCATTTGTGATATTGCAAATATTGTCGTACGTTAGGTCTTAGTCTCTTTGCCCCTAAAATTTAAGGTTCAGAAAAATATTCACAAAAATTCGGATTAAAGCTCATGAACTAAGCATTAAACTTGAAACCATATGTACTATATATTTTGTGTAATTGTTATGAAAATAATAAAGATAAAAACATTTGTTAAAATTTAAATAAGGAATATTTTGAATGGATATGATTAAAAGGTATTTCCTAAATATATGAATATTTATGAACAAACATTTTTATAGGATGATCGAAAGGGTGATATAAACCTTATATTGAACCCTCTGAATAAAATCAGCTTTTGCGTATAGGTAAAGATTTTATTTGACACACATACTATTGGTCAAGAAAACATTTTAATACAAAACATATCTAAAAACTAAGGAATGTAAAAAGAGTATTCGTTAGCTAGGCGAAGACAACACTACTGTTCGACTTCGGAGGCTATCTAATCTTTGGCATAGGCACGGGAATGCTTGCAAGTTTTGGTTGGGTATTTTAGAGTGTCACTAAACTATGAACTACGACTAAAGCGCTAGGACGGCTTAACTATCTAGATGGCGTGGATGTGATGGTTCTGTTCAATCCTGTTTATTGTCGCTGATGGCTGTGGATGCGGTGGCCACACTTTCACCCGTCTGGGACTTTGTAATGGTTGGCTTTCGGCTTTTTTCAAGGAGCGGCGAACTGTCCGGAGATCCCTTGACACTCTTATCACAGACCAAAGTAGAGGCCTTGGACTTTAATTCCTCGGCACTGGAAAATTGGGAGCGACTCTTGAACTGGCCGTTAGTCTTGGTTTGGGTCTTCAGATCGTATCTACGATTCCGACACGAAGATAACAGATTCTGAACCGGAGCCCAGCAGAGGAGAACTATTCCAATAGCCAAGCAAACTCCGGCGAAGATTGGTCCGGACATCTGGACAACCGGGAGGACCTTCAATTGGTCAGCCATCTCTGGAGTGATTCTTACTTTTTGCTCAAACCATATGAGAGGAAAAAATATTCTTGGTATTTTGGTGTATAAGGAGATGCCCTGAATTGGCTCCACTAGCATGTTGACCTGAAAGCGGGCAGCCACCTCTAAGGGAATTCCAGTTGTTGGCTCCACCACCATATAGAACTCGTGGTCCTCCTGATTGGGATTTAAACCCTCCACCTGATCTACGTAATAACGATCTCCGTTGAAAAAGTGGGGATAGGACATAAATACTGGGGATCCAAATCGACAGGAACTGATGTTCATCACACCCGAGGGAACACATTCGCCGCCACAAAAACAAAGGTTCTCTGGATACAGGGTGCCTGAAATATAGGAATACGTGTGAATTGGGCTTATATGATCTTGAATATTTTTTCTATAAATTTAAAGGCAATACAATTTAAGTTATTTTAAAAGTATGTAAGATGGATATTACGACACTCGTTTAACTAACTTTCTGAATTTTTTTTATAAAGTCAATGCAACATTGTATTGTTAATAGATTAAATATAATGACCTATTTAATTACAGCAATAAATTAACAAGGTAACATAGAATAAGTTTTAATTAATCCTCTTGAAAGTTTTCCATGTCTTCTAATAAATTTTAATATTAAATATAAGCTTATCAATTCTCACCATTGTCAACCGAACGAGGTCCTCCTGAAAATTTGTGTCCCTTCAGTCCTTCGACATCCACAGTTTCCACATAATCCAGCGGAATCGTGCGGCACATATCCGGAGTAAAGAGTCCCACACTGTCGCCTGGCTTGAGATGCTGTGGCTGGAATTCTCCGGCTGATCCATTCGTCATACCGCAATAGGAACTGAAAAATCCGGTGTTTTCCTGGTAATTCCACGAGTGCATCTGGCCCAATTTGGACAGATGATCGGCACCCGTAAATACATTAAATACACCAGTAAGATCGGCGCTTCCGTTGCGCGTATAGAACCAGCCGAATTTATCGAAAGGAACCTTAACGTCATCGCCAAAAATGGGCACTGCAATGGCCACATCTATCATGGTATCACTGTATCCGGTGAAGAGCAGTTCGTCGATCGATTTTTGGACAAACATTTCGGCGCCATACATTTTTAGGCCGACATCCACCATGGCTCGCCTACCCGACGACCAATGTTTTGCAGTGGCAGCTGCGGACTAAAGAAAACATTTTTCATTAGAGTAAAATAAATTATTTGTTTTGACTTTTCATTATTTTCCAAACGTTAACATATTTTAAAATTTTTTATTTTGGGAATTTTAAATTAAAAAATAAAATTTTTAAAATAAATAAATAAAAACAAAATGTGTGACTGTTAAAAGACCACAACCTAATGCGTTAAATTTTGAAGTACCTTATACAGTTTTAAAATATTAATTTAAATAGTCATTAAATGGCTCTACAATTTTTTAAGAACATTTTTGCATGAAACTAATGACAAAACTATAAAAATGCGTTTCTCTTTTATCATCAAATATTTAAATAATAGTTTGTAATAAATATTTTATATAAAATATTTTTAAAACATTTGTTGGGTTTTTTCCCATTTTTTCATTTTATGGAAAATTTATTTATTTATTTTGTATTACCTTTTTGTATTATTTATTTTCTTTCTAAGAGCTTTAACTTTTAAATTTTTAACATTTTTTCTTCGATTTCTGTAAATATATTTGATGTACTCACCAGAGCCACAGCATTGAGGGTGGTAATCTCATCGTCCAGACTTCCGTTGCTGCCCTCCGCATCAAAGTAGAACAAACTGCGCCTGCGATAGCTGACGGATGCGTTTTCGGGATGCCAGTGAATGTCCACCTTGTCGGGTCGCTCGGTGAAGCGATATGGACCCACCTGCTGCATAATGGGTTTCGTGGAGAGGTTGCCAAAGTCCTCGGGATTCGTCCAATTGTACAGGTAGATGTCCAGACTCAGATCCAATGGCGGACTCTTCCAGTTGTCGTAGACACGTGTGTTGGGGGCCAGAGCCATTTCCTGCCGAAGAGCACCAGTCCCAATTAGAATTAATTGAAAATCTCAACGAGTTTTCCTCGATCTCTGACTCGCGCCAATTGAGAGGCGGCTGTTTTCCTTTGGCTCTCAATTGGCTTTAGTCGCTAATCGAGTGCAGCTGGCCGGGCTAACACATGTGAAACTGAACTGTACCCTTGTCAGCGACGGGGATTACCTTCTGCATGATCCAATCGAACAGGTCCACCCAGAACATTCCGAACAATATGCCAAATAGTCCCAGGCAGAAGCCAAAAATGCCGATAATTAACTTGCGATTGCTTTTTTGGCCCCACATTGCGCTGTTTTGTGTTGGCATGGCTCACGCTGGGCAGCTGTGTGGATATCTAATGGCCTCTGTAATGATATGCAAGTTAATAATATATCAAAGGAAATAAACCAATTGACAGAATGCTACAAATTGTAAATATATAAAAGTAGATCAAGTAAGAGCCATTCATGAATGCAGCAAATAAATAATGAATGTGTAAAAAAGAAATATAAAAGATAAACAATTGGATTCTGTTAAATTTTTATATTACTAAAAATAGTTTTAGTCTACATAAAATAAGGAAATAATTAGAAATTTAAAGTAATCAGAAATAATGTTTTATATAAAAAATTATATTTTCATTGTTTAATATGATAATCAAAATAAATGTAAATAAAAATCTCTTACTTTAAAATATTAATCTAATTAATTAATTTAATTAATTTTTTTTACTAAGTGTTCTGAATATACTTATTGCCTACTTTTAGGCCATATAATATGTAAAATCAAATCTCTTATTTACATATGCATTAAAACCCATGTTAATATAAGTAAGACGACAGAGAACAAAGAAAGGCCCAACAAAGAATCGAGTATAAACAGAATGCAAAAAGCGCAACCCGTTATTGAGTGACGAATTCCCATAGCTTCTATTTTTATCAATATAATTGAATCAATTTAAGCAAAGCGTGACTTTCAATTGCTGTTTACACTCATGTAGAATATAGTAAGCCCCGTAAATATATACAGAAGTATAGTATCAGTGGTGATAATTACAAAGCTTCCCCCGACACTCAATGTTTTAATTAGTTATGATAGGTTCAGGCTGCAATGTAAGCACATATGTGCAGTAGGTAATTATCAATTGAAATTACAAATATCACGCATTACTGTAGACGATATTATCGGATATGATCTCTGATTTAATGTCTTTTAATTTAATTTTGAAATGGAAAAGATATTCTTTTATTGTTTTTTAGCCAAAATTTCACATCTGGGGCATCCACTGTAGGCCGATAAGCGGATTCTGAACTCCTAGGTGAACAGACCCATGAGGAAAGCACAGATAATTGAGGAAATTGAACTGCACTGCACTTATCGCTTATCGAGAACCCATCCCCTGACAATTATTCGACCAATCTGCCCCGAGTTCCCATCACTATATATCACTTCAGCATAAATATGGCATATGTACAAATGCGACCGGTTCGCATCTCTGTGATATATCGTCATAATTGAGTCTATCAATTGACCCCGCTGTGAGCTATGGTTGGGTCTTTGACACTTTCCGTTATTGCACATGAATACGAATACGAATCTATTTATATACCCATATATATGCTTATTCGGGAGCGTGTCAACTGAGTTCTGGTGTCTGGTAAATTGATATGATTATGTCTTTTGAATGATGAATGCCTGTCGAGCATTTGTCGGCGCCTTTTTATTGTCTTCCCAATTATTCTGGAGTGAGTTTTAATTGGAATGGACATTGAACAGGTGCATCACAGAGAGTTCATCCCGCATTTTTAATCTAATTCAATTAGATCAACAGCAATGTCACACGTAAAGAAGCTCTATTTCTTGAAAACCGTTTTTTTGGCATACATTTCTAAACAAAAAAATTACATTTAATTTATAACAAGGTTTTGAAGTAAATTTAAATTATTTAGGCAGATTTAATGATAAAGTTTCCTTACTTCGTACAGCAAGTTCATTGAAATTTTCTCTTGAAGCCTGAAACCTCAACACTGAATAATTGTCTTTAATTAAATTTAAAATTTCTGGCGGCCCGAGATATTTCATTCATTATTAAATTAAGCTCACTCGTGTATTTCTCTCTGGTTCTTGATCTTTTATATTAACTTTTTTATGAATCCAAATGCACTGAACGCTTTATTTGTATTCTATGCAAATGTCCACAGAACACTGACCTAAGTTAAGTCACTGGGAAAGTGAATATATTTGAAAACAATTTGTAAAGGTTTCGATAACAGCCCACCTGAAAAAATGCTAGCAAATTAGAAATTTTATAAAGTGTCATGGCGATAAGTTAACACGTAATTAGTGCAAGTGCACTTGCTATAAGGCGGAAATCCTTAGGGCTACGTTAGCCACACTTAACCTGATACGTTAAGATCGTTTTTTAATGTAAACCAAGTCAAAATCTGATGTTCTCCAACCACAAAATGTGCCATTGAGATGAAACCGCAAGTCAGATTGTCGACGTAGTTCGTAAAAACAAAACCGCGTCAAGTCAACAGTCATGTAATTTGCATTTGCTCGAGCGACTTCTTTGATAATGAGCTATCGGCAAATAATTAAGTTTTCGCAGCCTTCGAGTACGGAAATAATCGAAACGATTTAAGACTAAGCCAAAAACTATAAATAAAGATTTTGCTTTTGGTTATTTGCAAACAAAGTGTCGTCCCAATGGGCGTGCGGATCCGAAAATAGGTTTGGTATTTAAAAAGGCACACGCAACTGTAATTAGTTTTTTAGTTCCAATCCAATGAAATTTAAATTTGGTCTGTAGTTGTTTTTAAAATAGTTTTTCAATCTTTAGTTGGGGGCTTGCTGAATTACTAAAGTGGTTTTAAGGCCTTTGGACTTTTTTATTAAGTGATTTTTAAATAAATATATTTAATTAAACTTTTATGTAAATGCCAATTATTTAAGTGGTTATCAGATTAACTTTTCATATATTTTAACTATATTTAAACGGGGCGTATGCGTAATTTGCCGTGGAACAGCTGTATTTATTGGGGATTCTTAAATCGTTTGTGTAAATTGCATTTTCAATAAGCAAGTGGCCAGAAAATGACTGAGAAGCTTCTTGAGATCTAAAAAAGATTTGCATTCAACAAAGGAAATATAAGTAAATATTTCTATGATTGTAATTTTGTAAAATTTTTTATTTATTCATTACTGTAAATAAACTATTGTCTGCCAGGGTTACGGGAACTCTTCAATAGACATTCATTGGCTTATTTAAGCACACGCAACTTTTAATAGATATTTTGGTAGAAAAATTAATTTAAATTTAAAAAAATCGTCGACCCCAGAATAGGGACTTTTATCAAAAAAAAATACCGAAATTTAAGGAAAATGTACGAAATAAAATTCTACAAGAACAGAAGAAGTACTCCTACAAATTGTTCTTGGATTTAATTTGGTCAACGGGTCGTATGCTTAATATTCTTTCGAACAGCTGTTTTCACAAAGGGTGCCGAGTCCCGAGACTAATTTTAGAACATTAATCACACAATCAACAGGTCGTCCGGTAGCCCAGGCTGAAAGCCCTTTGTTTTGCATTCCGGCACTCTTATTTCTTCAAAGAGAATCGCCACACAAAGCCAATATAAACACAAAAAGAATGTATAATATGGGTTGACTCCGTACATATAAATATATACATATATGTGAATTTATGTCTGGCGACTGTTTTTCACTCTTGTCAAGTTGATTTCATTTAATGGCCTGTAATCTTAATAAGTCTGCCGGCGATTAAACCATCAAGCCAAAACTAAATGTGTTAACCAGTGCGGAAATGCGAAGAAATTTCAAAGAAATTACGTGATATTCTCAAAGGAGTACGCCTGTCCTTTCGAATTTCCTTGGTTTTTTTGTTTTTAAAGGCACTCACTTGACTTTTATTTGCTAAATAGAAACAAATCACGGTTTTCTTTTTCAATTCTTTTTTTCGGATATCCTTGCGAGGAAATTGAAATTTGATAAGGATGTGGACACAACGCTTGAGCACGTGGAGGATTATTTTACACAGAGGCCGGAAAAGTGGACACGAGTTGCGAGGAAATTCCGCTAAATAATACCGCTTTGCCCGGCGTTTCGAATGCGACTGTGCTCGACTCTCGGCGAACGGACCGCTAGCAGAGCCGCCGGAGAGGGCGGGAGCGGAACGGGGGCGGGGCAGAGCGAACGGTCTCTGCCGCCGATGAATGTCAGTCAAGTGCGGCACATGGAAATAGGAATGGAAATGAAAATGGGCTTGAGAAGAGCTCTGAGTATCCGAGAATCTGCGTGTGAGTGTGTCTGTGGGCGAGTGGGTGTTTGGGTTAATTTGCGCTTTAGGCTTTCCATAGTTTTGCCATTGAATTCAGAATTAAACTATATGTAATCTGAAACGCGAGCGAGACTTTCAAACTGTAAAGTGCAACCGAGTACAGGAGTAGTCAAAAACAACAGTGTAACCAATTCTATTAAAATTTTAAAATACAAATTTGATTCATCAATTTATAAAATATATATAAAAAACAAATAAGACTCCTTTGGCATTCAATGTTAATTAAGATTATTATTAGGAAATTAATGGCTAAATCAGGATAAATTTATAAAATTTTTAAAAACTTTAAGAAGACAAACATTAATTATAATTTTAAAAATTAGGAATGAAATCGTAAACCATTAAATAAGACTTATTATTAAGCGAACATAACGATTTGTGACAACAGCTAATAAAATTCAGAATAAACTAGGTCACATTTTAGTAAAATCACAATCTGCGAAGAGGGAAATCTTATGCACTTGGATTTTCGTAAAGCTGATCGGATTTTCGCGTATGAAACGGGTGGCGTGTGGAAAAGTAAACAAATCGTTAAGTAGAAACCAAAATTGATAACAAATTGTCGAAGCCTTATCACTGCGGCTAATCGTGATGATTAGCACTGGGTGAAGAGAACACCGAACATGCACGACTAACCCCATACACTTGTAAGCTGCGTAAATCGACAGGCGATCAGAACAAAGTTTCAACCGGCTTCCATTTCGCATATCATTGGGGGCAACACTTTCCGGCAATCGGCATAAAAAACACCCACGGCTCTGGATGAGGCAATAAAACAACCAGATGTCGTTGCCCCAGTGCGTTTTTCGACTGGCTCCCTTATTGGATTAGTGTTTTGCCTCCTTTCAGGTGGCGTGCGCACTGGGATTAGCATTTATTTGGGGCCTTCGGTCACTTACCGTTGCAGATTATGTTGCAATGTTGACAAGTGGAGCAAGCGGAAGTGGATCAAGCCATCGCCATCCCTTAACTTCGAATTGGGTCTAGGGCCATTAGGGTGGTTCGAAACATTAAATCTTATTCTCACCCCTTTAAAAAATGCATGTGATAACTAAGGAACTTAGAAATTACTCGTACGACACGTATAACAGTACGAACTTGGTTGAAAAATCTCCCATTCAAATTATGAAACATCAAATAAATGGTGGAAATCTACGACACCTAGATTAAAAATAATTTTGAAAAATTAAAATTAATTCGCACACCCTAAATACATTTAATACCTCATTGCACCGTATAGGCAGGGCCTTACAAATTTCCACACAAATATGGACCGACCTAAGCGCCACGTTATTCACTAAAATTTCCCACTGAATTTCAAACAGTTTCCGTCAGTCAGCTGCAAAAATAGTGACATACCAACGAGCCGCCTGTCGTTGATTGGTTTACGTTACGATACGTTAAGAAATAGCAACGTAATCAGCTTGTAAATGTACTGCATTCACTGCATGTACTTCATACAAAATGTTTGCTATTGAAGAAATATATCAGTGCAATTTTATAAAAAGAATGCCACTGAATAATTTTAAGTAATGACGTTTTAGTAGATTTTCCAAACTAAATTCTTTTGAAAAAATCAAACGCAGTATAATAAACCAAAAAGTCATTTACACGTTTATTTATTGTTTCTTAGATTTTTTAAAATTATAATTTTAAATATCCACGTATCTACGGATTCCTCGAGTGTAAAGTAGTATTCAAAAAAGGTGCAACAAAAAAATGTAACTTGTGGGTGAAAATGTATCCTTGATCAGGTTTACTAAGTGCCGTTTTCTCTTCCGTTTGTTAAATTTAATGAAGGGTTAAAACCTTGAAATCGTATGGGAAATCATTGATTTAACCCTACTTTAAATTTAACAAACGGACGAAAAAAGGCCCTAGTCGATCTAGCCAGATCCTTCTGTCTCTCCTTATAAGCGCTCAGATATCGGAAAGTTAATGTTAGAGACTTAAAAGTTGTATTGTTGTAGATTCCACCAGTGCCTATAAAGCACAACTTATTTTAATATTTTTGTAGTGTTAATTTAATTTTATTTCATTTGTCAAAAATAGTTTAACTTGAACCTTTATTTAATAAGTTTAATTCGTTAGCTGAGTAGTCGGTAATTGAGTGACTGGTTTTGAAGAATGAAACTGTTTTGGAGATACTTTGAAAACTGCGATATGGCGAAATCAGGCGACACAAAAGCCGTTATTAATCGCCAAGATGGATAGAATGAGAGTGATTCGATGAATTAAAGCTGGTGTCGTCCATGTGATGCGTAAATCGAAACTGGACAAGGATAATGAGGTAGCAAGTAGCTGCGCCCGAAATCTGTAAAATTAAGTTATTAAAAAATGGTCTAATATATTGATTTTAAACCCACAGTAAATATCAGTGTGCGATCCAGACGAAAAAGTCCTGCGGCTGTGAAAAGAACCTTTCTATGCGATAGCTGTAATGAGAGACGGAAAAGTCGATCTCTCAGCTCCGGGTCATCGGTGATATTCAGGATCTTGTGCACTATGGCTGCCGTATAGCTGCTGTGTAGAATAGTACGACTGCTGCCCTCGACGATCAGTACGATAATCACTATGTACCACAACAGCTGCATTAGGAAAAAGGCGAAAAATTCATCGGCCTCGAAAACATCCAATCGTTTGGGATTTAGAATAGCTTCCAAGAGGTAAAAGTCGTCAAAAAGAATGAATAGAAAGGATATTGCAATGATTCCGAGCAGCGGATACGTGAAGTACTCCTCGATGGTCTGGCAAATATCGCATAGGAGATTGTGGATGTTGGACACCTGTTTGATCGCATACTCCGGATTGAGGCGTATAACAGAGGTAACACTGTACCGCTTCATCGGGGTGCTGATTAAATTTCGTAGGCGATGAGAGTAGCGTCTGTGATTGACAACCGAATGCATTGGCGACAGTTCCAGGGCGCTATATTGCTCAATATGGGCATCTAGAATGTCCTGCAGGATCTGAAAATGAAATATTGAAACATTGTTTTAGTAGTTTACACGTTTACAAAAAAAAAAATTATTTTATTTTAATTTACTTGAGATTCATTATATTCTTTTAATTTATTCTCTGGTTAATGTATTTATTTATTTTTTTGCAGTAAACATATTACAACGGCACTATACAATTTTGTATTTATTCACACCTAATTTTGTTCCTTTTTTTAATTTAGTCGAATTTATAAATTTAAAAGAGTATTCTCTGGCTAAATAGAACAAATTGAGTTTATTGAATTTAATTTGAATTTAATCTTTTTGCCTTTTCTCTAATCCATTTAATAAATAAACTTTCTATTTCTCTTTTTTCAATAACATATTGCTACTCTTTTGATAAAGACCACGTCTTACAACTGCAGGCGCATTCAAGTCCCAGGACACTCACTTCGTTCAGCATACTAAACCGACTCCTTGCCAAGTCCGTGGTGCAAAGAAACTTGAAGACCATCAGGCTGATATTGATGTGCGGCAGGGCGAAGGTGGTGAAGGTCACAAACGAGGGCGATATGGTGGCACTGACCAGTAGGCTATAGCTGACACACAAGTAGATGACGTTGAAGAGCAGCATGCCGAAGGATATCAGGAAACTGGACAGCAGGATCCTTCGGTAGTCCAACTTCATGCCCAGCCGCACGAATATCTCGTCCACCACGATGTTGTTCTGGATAATGCTGACCAATCGTTGCCGTTTGAACATGGCGAAGCCAAAAATGGTGGACATGGCCAGGATGCCAGTCAGGCGGAGGGTTCCATCGCCCAATCTGGTGATATTCGTTTGGAAGAAGTAACCAATTATGGAGTCACCCTCCTTCACCGAAATGCCGAAGCACAGGACGAAGAACAGAAAGTGCACAATGCCGGCGTAAAACGAGAACTTGGATGTTTGCACCTCCTTTCGCGGATTGAGATTCAATCGGAATGGAGCCAGGCCCAAGAGCGAAATAAATGTGAGCGGTCGAAGGGCCTGAAACACATTATCCGCCTGGGAGAAGCGCTCCCACAACTTAAAGGCCATTGAGTAGCCCTATTAATATTTAATAATATTTATAAAAATGCCGCTCTTGGTGTAACGTCCGTTCGATTCGCGTATTTTCCGCCAACTGACAGCGGAAGTCTTCGGCGAGTGATGATGATGATTGCCTTTGTGTCAACTCGAAACACGACTGATATATCATATATCAAAATCGTTAAAGGGCTGTCACACACCTTCGCACTCGTAATAAGCTAATATCAATAGTCGCAAATATTTAATTAACCTTAAACGAGGGGGCGGGATACGGGTGGTCAAGGTCATTTACCAAGAAGTTCAACGAGTTCAACGGAATTTTTGACACGGCCATTTTTTTTGAAACTCTATGTCCTATGCAATGGCTTTTCATTACAATTGGCAAACAATTTATGGCAGCCATTAAAAGACCACGAAAAAAGTGAGCACTTGGAAGGCCAAAAATGTTAGACGATATTTATTGTTAATTAGTTAATGGGCAGCTTAAAAGGGTTTCGTGTTAATAAAAATATGACATTAACTAGTTTTGAAATAAGGTAGATTAAACGGGCCCAAATAATATATATAATAGCATAACATGTATAAATACTACTTTAAAGCCTACAGCAAAAATTCTGATTTATATATTGACCTAAATTGTCCTTTATTTATGAAGAAACATTTACTTCTGTTAGTAGTAAAGGTAAATTGTATTTTATATTTCTCTGACAACATATCTAATAAAAACACACTCATTAAACGATTATAAATT